GGGCTGAACAGAAATAGGTCTCAGGCCACGTTTGGCCCATGGACCAGAACTTACTAATCCTTGCCATACGCAGGAAAAAATAATTAAAAACTGTAATAGATGTCATTCTCAATAAGAATAACTCTAACAAAAGACGTGTAGGACCTTAGGGGAAATAATAAACTTTTTTGAAAGTTATGAAAGAAGATACATGAGGTTAATGGATAGGAATACTCAATTTCATATCAATTCTCCCTAGGTTAATTTGTAAATTCTGTGTGATTCCAACGCATTGATAGAGCTCGTCAAGTTTTCTAAAATTCATCTGGAAGCACAGAGAGCCAAGAATAGCTCAGATTTTGAAGAACAGATTGCCTTGCCAGAAATACAGGCTTATTTTAAAGTTACAGAAAGACTGTGGTTTCATATAAGTATAGAATGACCAATAGGGTGAAACAGTCCTACAGATGCACACATATATAGGAACCTGATTTTGATAAGATGGAATTGTAAGTCAACGCAGGAAGGCTGTACATAATGGAAAAAAATAGTCTTACCTCACCGCATACATGAAAATAAACCCCAGGTAGATTAAAGACCTAAATGTGAAAAACAAAAACTTTAATTTGATTGGAAGTAAAAATTAGAATTTGTATGTACTACAAAATTCACCATAAAAGAGAAGCCGGAGACTGGGAGAACATATTGGCAAAACATGTGACTTAAACAGGATTGTTGTGCAGAATATATAAGTAACTTCTATAAATCAGTAAGAAAAAACAGACAGCCCAGTAGAAAAAGTAGATATAGACTATTAAAAGGTAAATTATAGAAGAGGAAACCCAGTGACCATTAAGCATATGAAATATACTTAACCTCCGTTAAGTAATTAAGAAAGGGAAAATTAAAACAATGAGAGAACATTTCACACCCATCAGGTTGGCACATGTTAAGAGGTTGAGTAGTACCAAGTGTAGATACAAATGAGGACAAAGGGAGCTCTGATACACTGCTGGGAGTATAAATTGGTGCAACAGTTTTAGAGACAAGTTTTGCAGTATCTAATAAAGCTGAAGATGTGGATTTCCAAGGAGCCAGCAGTATTACTCCTAGAGAAATTTTTCATGTGTACACAAGGAGACACATGCAGAAATGTTTATTGCAGCATAGTTTGTAATAGGGAAAATTGGCAACAATATAAATGTTAATTGGTAGATTTAGGTCAGTAATTGTGGTTGATTCAGTTGATACTTTTATTGTAATTACCTTACAGGAGTTAGAATGAGTGAACTTAGAGCTTAGTTTAGATGTATCTATGTGGGTAAATCTTGAAAAAAAATATTCAGTGGAATAGAAAGCATATTGAAGAATGATGTGAACAATGCAATAACATTTATATAAATTTAAAAAAATATATAAAACAATCTAGTTTCAGGATGTGTATGTAGCTAAACTATAAAAAGATAAACACAAAATTCATTACACTTGGGAGTGTAGAGGGAAGAAGGGAAATGAGGATCAAGGAACAGTTTAAAGACACTTCAACTATATCTGTAAACTTATTTTTCAAAAATCTGAAAGAAGTATTACAAAATATTAAGAGTTGACAAAACTGGGTGAGTCCTCATGGGTGTTGATTACATTTAACTTTTGGTATGCTTGAAATATTTCATAATGAATGTGGAATGTTTTTCAAATGTAATACTGTATGATCAGTTTGTATGAAGTAAAATTTTTTTTTCTTTCAAAAAGAAATTGAATCACACAGCTTTTTCATGTTTCCTTTTTTTTTTAAAAACATTTTTAGCTGCTTCATGTGCATGAAATCTTCCTTGATTGTCACTACAATTGGGAACTGGTAATCTGGTGCATCTCATTAACGCTTTTTCTCCTAAGATTTGTTACCCTTGGATCAGAAACAAGTAAAAAATATAGCAATACCTCAATATTACTTACTGAGCAGGTAAGAATGCATGATTGATATGTTATAAATTAATGCCTGCAAACTAAAATGTTTTCATTTACTTCATGTTTTTTAGAAACATATTAGAATAAAGCCATTTGTGGTATAAAGCAAAAATTGAAATTTGATACAACTCAGGCCATTCTTCAGTGTTTGCTGCTTTGTCTCAGAATTTCAGATTTAATCTACTCTTTTTATTGTCCCATTTTCATTCCTCAAGAAGGAAGTACCATTTATAGAAATTACAGATTTTAAACCATTAATGGAATATGTTTATTTTGCAGTGTTGCAAAGACATATTTGAAAAAGTATAAATTTTTATTTGTATGGAAGGATAAAGCATAATAATTTAGATGATTATCTCTATTTGGTATGAATTGGTTAAATATTTTCCTCTCACCATTTCATAGGGAGTATAAAAAGAAACTGCCAAAGAACTTGTAGAATATTTTACTCAGGGATAGTTTGATTTCAGAGAAGCCTTGGTTGCACAACAGTTAAGTATTCAGTTGCTAACCAGAAGGTTCAGGTTCGAATGCACCCGGCGGCTCCTTGGGAGAAAGACCTGTCGATCGGCTTCCATAAAGATTACAGCCAAGAAGACCTTATGGGGGCAGTTCTACTCAGTCACATGGGGTTGCTGTGAGTCAGAATTGACTCAACAGCACCTAACAACAACAAGTTTAAACAAGGAACAGGTAACTTGGTCAAATGAATTCAAGGGGAGAGGGGAGAATGACCAACAAAGAGAGATTTCAAGGAAATGAAGTATAGTTGGGCCTCATGGGGGAGCCTTGGTAGCACAGTGGTTGAGAGCTCTGCTACTAACCAAAAGGTCAGCAATTCGAATTCACCAGCTGCTCCTTGGAAACCCTGTGGGGCAGTTCTACTCTGCCCTATAGGGTCGCTATGAGTGGGAGTGGACTTGACGGCAGTGAGTTTGGTTTTTTTTTTTTTTTTTGGCCTCATGGGAATTGGCCACTTCCTCCAACTTGCTCTGAGCTGTCTGGTTTCTCATTTCTGTTCCTTTCTGTACCTTTGTTCCACTGACCTCTCTGTATACTTGCTACTCTATAATTTTGGTTTACCTATGGTTTTGACTTGCCTCAGCCAAAATATTCTACACTTCACTAACGTTTCAGCTCATACTCCTGCATCATCTGGCAAATAGTGTCTTAGTCCCACCAGCCGGTGTATTGACTATCTTTGGTGTGGGGTTACGCCCCAGCCTAATTAGCTATGACTCCCAGAGTGAGGATGAGATGGTAGGGTCAAGTGGAAGAAGCACAGCGGCCCAGGTCTGCCCCTTCCACAGGCTGGATTAGAGCATTTTTCAAAGAAGGTGACTGTGAACAGGACAGGCACCTCTAAATTTTCTATTGAAGAGTAGATAAAGATACACAAAGATTTCGTATCTGATCTGCTGAAGTTACTTTTAAAATAAGAAGTCACAAATCAGTTGATTTAGTTTTAGTCTAATTACTGTATTATTATTTAAATTGATTTGGCTCTAGGACTAAAGTGTATCAACAGTAAGTAATGCTGTCCAGCTTCCTTTTTGTTTTTTTTTTTACTTTTAATTACATTTGAAAGGTGTTTTAATAACTTACTGTTTTTCTTACTATAAAGTAATGTAAGTTTATTATAAGAAACTTGGAATACACAGTAAAGTATAAAGAAGAGTATTAAAATAACCTATAATCTCAACACCCAGAGAGCCACTATTATTATTTTAATGAATATCTTCCAAGTTCTTTTAAAAATCTGTACAATTTTTATTATTTTAATTGTTTACTTTCTTTTTATAAAAGATAAACCTCTACTTGAAAATGGAGAAGAAACCTAACAAGAAAGAGGAACTGACGCTAGTGAATAATGTTTTAAAACTGGCTACCAAACTACTAAAGGTAAGAATAAAGTTCAATATGGAATACAATAAAACGCTGTTCTGACATTGTATCTTAGTCGTCTGTTTGTAGATCATACCTTGTATTTGGTTTTAATGATTATTCAAATTATATCCAAATTATATTTGAGCACATTTATGTAAAAGTCCATTTTCTTATTTCAGCTTTAACCAAATCAATTCTTTCTAAAAGTACCCTTAATTTGTAACTATTTTTTGAAACAATTTTTAAAAATCTTCATTGTGTATTGCCATATAATTTAATTGATAATTCTTAAATTAATTCTTAATTCTAATTGATAAATCTGGGGCTCATAGGTATTTGTTTTCCCTCTCTTCTAGGAATTGGACAGTCCCTTTAGATTATATGGGCTTACAATGAATCCGTTGCTTTATAACATTACCCAGGTGGTCATCCTGTCAGCTGTTTCTGGTGTTATCAGTGACTTGCTTGGATTTAATTTAAAGGTGAGAACTTGCAAGGCATTACTTCTGAGTACTCTGTTCCATTTTTGTGACATTTATTTTGCCCTAGCACTCTTTTGAGATCTCACATGCACAATAATGGAGTCATTTTGATAATTGTGTATAGAATTAGTGAAAATAATTCCACATTTATTTTCAAAGAATAATATATCTTGGCTTATAATGCTTATGAAACTCCTAATTTGGAACAGTATTCATTACAAATAGGACTCTTGTGTAGGAAAAGTATTTATTTTTACTCGTAAAACCTGAATCTAATTTGGATGACAAAAAAAAAAAAAAGCCCTTTTTCTTTTTTTTTTGGCAGAAAGTTGTATTACTTATCTATATGGCAATGCGTATATTCCTCCATCATATGTACAACTAACTGTTAGTGAATAAGTGATAATCACTATAAACAGTTTGTATGTGTGTATTACCACTTTGCAGTAAAAGAAAGCAGGAGAAATCAATTTTCCCTTTTTGTTTTGCTTGTTTAAGATGAATTCTTCTTCAGATAAAAGAGTTAAATATGAGAACCTATACTTGTTTATGAATGAAATTTAAGAAATAGTACTATGTGATATAATTTAATAAATCAGGATATTAAAACTGGCTCTAATGATCTTTTATATTTTCCCTAGCTGTGGAAGATTAAATCATGACAATTCAGAGAAAAGATGTAGCCGCTTTTCCAGAATAAGAGTACCAACTAAGCTACCTGAAAGCAGTCACTGACTCTTTGCTTCAGGAGTCTCAGCTGGGAAATTGAAGTGTTTACATCAGACTGTCTTGTGCAATTCTTATATTTATTTTACTTGTTCACTGTTTTTTACGTTTATTTTAGTCTTTATTATTTTTAAGCATTGATGTATACTTAGTTGTTGAAAGGGTGATAAAAATGATATCCAGATACTTGAGATCCTGGTAATTGCTCATAAATAATTGACAGAATTGCAAATCCTGAAAATAGAAGCCATTGCTAAGCACTGTTTCTCCATCAATGCCATGAACTTGCCTTACTTGAGGAAAAATTCTTTAACTTTGGAATATCACATTGGACTCAGCTAAGCAAATATAGCATTTTCTTCAGTAAATAAAGATCCAGTCAGGATTTTTCTTGAATTATTTTGGAACAATGCCAGGATCTGTATTGATTAAGCTGCAGTTTAAGCACCCTTCAGTATTAATATATATGGTGTTAAATAACAGGTCAACAAGTGCTCTTTGATGATAAAACTCTTAATAGAGCAATAATTGTAAATGGTTACCATACTGTAAGATTTTTTGATAAAAATTAACTAGTAATAATTGTATTTATTTGAAACACTGGGCTGTTTGCACAGCTCCAACTGTGCATGCTCAAAATGTGCACTTTTTAAAATTGTTCCTTTTAATGTACATCTTTATATGGGATATGTTATAGTGTACTAGGGCATGATATGGTATCCTTTTGAGTGAGGTATATACTCATCTCACAAGTGAAGTGCCTATTGATATTATTAAAGTACATTATGTTTACTTAAGTAAAATAATTTTCTCCCTATGGTACACTATAGTGTATGCTATTCAGACCACACTCAAATGAATACCTTAAGAATAAGGGTAAGAACCAATAAAATATTCTTCTGATTACTAGTTTTAAAACTATTTCCAATTTTTCAGAAAAGACCACTTCAGCTTTCAAATTCTTCCTCTAAACTTACTCTGGTGCATCTCCCTCCCATCCCCCATTATATAAAGGGCTATTTTAGATGCTTTTCACCTAGAAAATTAATCCCCTCCAATAATTTGCCAAGTGTCTGAGTATTTATCACGTCGGCATGCTAGGTAAATAGGGCAAATATGACGGTATCTTACATTGGACCTTGATTTTAAGTTGTTATATTTGTACAATCAAGAGTGTTTTAGGAATTCCATGAAACACATGAACTGTTTTTGAGATTTTTTTTTTTAAACTGAGCATCTGGTTTCTAAAACAAAGAATTTATTTGAAACAATTGAGAATTTTCTTGGTGCGAAGTGTATCATGTTGAATATCCTCACTTTTTACCATGTGTTAGGGAATTGAAAACAATTAGTTGTAAATGATTGATTTGTTTGGTGCAATTCTAATCCCCAAATCATAATCTTCAGATCAGGAATGTGTGGTGAACAGAGCTGTGTCGTATCACTTTGTTCTTACCATTCCTTTTGATCTGCCTCAGTTCAGCCTCATTGTGTATGTAGTGTGTTTCCTTTCTATAGAAAACAATGAAAAGCATTTTGTTTTATTTGCCTGGGTTCGAATAGGTTTAATAATGACCAAAGTGCATTCTGAGTTTTTTCAAGGAATGTATTACTGGAGCTTTAAGAACATACTTATTTTCTCATGTAAAAAGTTAGGCTTTGTCTGATATGTTTCTTCTTCCTCTATTGTCTAATGTTGAAGTTGTTTTTAGGAATTATATTTTATAAACTTTTTTCAAAATAAGGTACATACCTATACAGAACTGAACATTTTGCACAGAATATATTGAGTATATTTTGAGAAAAAAAGTACAGCATGAGTTCTGTTAGGCATAAAAGATGAAACTATCGTATCTCACAAAAAAAAAAAAAACCCTTATTTCAGAATGGAAATATTTTTGAGAAAAGTAGTTGAGTATACTGATTTAAGAAAATGTTTGTTTTAGATTGAAATTCATTTTAAATTAAAGTTGGGAGTTGATTAAGTACAATATACCTCTCAACAACTTACTAATAATATGTTGAATTGTGTCACTAATGTGGGCAGCAGTGGAATACTAAAGGAAAGTTTGTCATTTTAAGCAGTTTCAGAACATTAATGGTGGACCTGTTTTCAAAGCAGGAGAGCTGACATTGCTGCCTTTAAGAATATGAATGTAAGAAATTGTAACATATCACATAATATAAAAAAGGCAGTTCAAAGATAGAATTGTGGCAGATGCTGTGTGTCAACTGTTGTCTCTTTGCCACATGTGTTATATTTGAAAGTTTTAATGGTAAGTTTCAAATAAAACATTCTATGACTGACAGTATTAAACTAGAGGATTTTTTTGTTTTTGTTTTTGTTTTTTTAGTAATTTTCAAGTCATATATACATTTCTCTGGTAATTTGTGTTTACTGTAAAATAAACTTTAATTATAACTGTTAGATTTGGGGAGGGTGGAAATAAACTTTTTACAACTTCCCAACATTTCAGATTTTGTTATGATTCTTAGAACATGAAAAAATAGTAAAACAAACTCAGGAGTCTTTGATCACCAAACTACTGTGACACCATTACTGTATGTTTGCTTGTTTTTGAATACAGAAAACTTTCTGTGGCCTGGCATATTAAAACTCAAAAGGATAGTGGTGAATTGTAAAAAACTATTTTGCCAAATGAATTTAGCATTAGAGATCATAGCCAACAATAAGATCATTAATTATTCTAATATTTCTATTATCTGATTGTTACAAGTGTTCATATGGCTTAATCAGGGACTATAATTCAAGTTCACTTTCAAACTTACTTTCAACTTAAAATTGGCTCTTCTAATGAATCTTCAGACTTCAGAGTATAGCAGTGTGATTGGCACTTTTTCATATGCTATATCATTAAGAACATTAATTCTCAACCTTTTTTCTATATAAAGGATACCACTAATGCTTATCAATAGCAATGGTTCCCCATAGTACTTACCTTCTGGGGGAGGGGAACTGGGAATATAGAAGAGGGTACAGGTATACTTTCAAAAAACTATTCCCCAAGTGATTTGGAAAGTTTGTCCCACCTGCTATTCCTCATACTTAGAGAATTACTGTTTTAAGATCAAGGAATTTTATAAAATGTAAATTCCATGAAATCTTAATTTTCCCAGCACCAAAACAGTGCCTGATACATAGAAGAATCTCAACATATTTACTGAATGAATGAATGGAGTCAAAAAAGACCTTCACACATACATCTGTTGCCATGGAGTTGATTCTGTCTCTAGCAACCCTAGAGTTTCCAAGGAGGGGCTGGTGGATTCAAACTGCTGACCTTTTGATTAGCAACCGAGCTCTTAACCACCAAAGCCCTCATTTTACCAGATTAAAAAAGAAAAAGCCACAAAACAGGTTAAGCCGTTTACTCAAAGTTGTACAAGTAGATAATGGTGGAACCAAAACTCTTCATTTTGAAGGCATATTCTGTATCTTTGTATAAGCATTTGACACCTGACACCTCTTGACTGATCAAAATACTTAAGGAAAATAACAGCACCCTTTTCATATTCTTAGTTATTGTAGAGTGACTTGACCTTCTACACATCTGCATATCAAGATATTACTGGAACCCTTAAGCCCTATTTGGCTTTTTTTTTTTTTTTAAATCAATCTCTTGTCCGTTTATATGTTTCCTACAATGGCTCTTCTAAACCTCCTTTATAATCCTCAAGGTCCTAATCTTTCTTATCCTATAACTATCAGTAGTTTCCCCCCCGCCCCCCAAAACTTTACAGAAAAGATAAAAATGATCAAGCATGAGTTCTAGCATCTTCTCCTTTCAGCTCTAGAAGAGATGTTGCTACTGAGGCCAACTCCATCAGTTCCCAGGGTTCTGTCTGTGCCCACCTATACCATGCTTCCTCCCTTTCCCCCTTTGCCATCATCTTTAATCTTTTTCTTTGCTGATTTTATGTTATGAACCATTTACATTTCAGGGAGAGGTGCTTGAATCTATAGTATGAGAGAACTAAGATTTGCAGGTTGGATGGAACAATGATGTACTAGATGGCACTTTGAGAGCTTGCCACACTCTCAGCCCTCATCTGAACAAAGCAGGAAGTTGTTTCTGCATGTTCAAGCTTCGTTGGACTATATCACTCCTCTCTCTCAGCCAGAGTTGAATGGGTCAGAAATTGGTGTCCAGCTCTAAAGCAGTCATTTTATGGGCCTACGAGTAGCCTTGTGGGAAGCACAAGAGCTTTGCCCAGCAGAGGCACTCTATTCTTGCTGGTGACTTGATGACCCAGTCAGATTCTCTCTTACAAGTTTAGGTTCTGTCAGCAGACAGAGTAGCAAGAAAAGCAAAAGCTCAGAAGAAGCCATGAGTTAAGCAAAGCCATAGCGTAGAGAGGAGGTAGTGATAGTGCAGAGGGAGAAGAAACTAACATACAGTCCAAAACTGATAGAGAAACTGCTAATTTGGCCATTGGAACATTAGAGCTGGTCTTAAGACTGTGGTGCCCTCATCTGAATAGTGATACCAGATGGCTCCATTTTTCCTTACGATAAATCCTTACCACCTGAAGTTACGGAAGGATGACTGTCAACCTAACAAGCTGCACACAAATGGTTGTTCAGACTTAAGCTGTTTTTCATCTCTAATGGCCTCTCCCTCCCTTTTTTTTCCAGTTGATGTCAATGGCTAATTTTGGGGGAGTAGATCACCAGGCCTTTCTTCCAAGATGCCTCTGGGTAGGCTCAAACCTCCAGTCTCTTAGCAGCCCAGTGCATTAACCATTTACACCATCTGTATCTTTGTACTTGTGTCTGTTTCAGTGTAGTACTTGACTATCTCCTCTTTCAACATATGCAGGCCTCCTGAGTCTTCAAGAGTTACCACTCTCAGTGCTAGATGTTTTGCTCATTTCTTCCTTTTTAGAATGTTACTCAATTCTGTGTGTATTCAACAAATAATCTGAAATTTAATGTAGTGGCTTGTTTTGTTTTTGTCTTTTAGGGCTAAATCCAACTCTGTCAAGTTTACTCATTAGCCTTTTGTAGTTATTTAATACTCTCCTTGACAAGTATTTCAGGAGTTTGGAGTTGTATTTTGATCTTAGTCAAATTCCCATTTACAAGTTTTAATCATTTATTTGTGAGAATTTCTGATTTTATCAAACTTGGTACTAAAAGGTATGCTTCAAGGCAAAATAGACTCAGTTTGCATCCCTTGGGATTTATAGCCAGTGTTTGCAAATGTGTTTACTTGTTTGTGCCTGGAAATGCAGAGTTCAAGTATGGCAGCCATTCTCCCTTCTATTTATCCCCTTCCTCTTTACTATCAGCCAGAATTGCGGGGTGAGGTTAGTGGTGCTGAAAGATTATCATAACATGAATTCTGCCATTTGGGGGAAGGTGTTAGAGTAAAAGATCAGCTCAGGAAATACGAAGAAAATACGAGAAACAAGGCAAGTACTTTTAAAATCCAGTTGTATTCAGTTTTTCCTTCAGTCATTCCACAAATCTTTTTCAGGCACTGAGCTAGAAGCTAGCGATACAGAAATTAAGATATAGTCCCTTCTTTCATTTAACTTGGGGTCCAGGAGGTGCTAGAGCCATGCAAACAAGTTTGTGGAGGGTGTGTGCTGTACTGGAGTTGACACATGCCCACAGTTTAGTATGGCTAGAGAAAAGGATGAGTATGGCCAATGAGTGGAAGATGAAGTTGGGAGATGACTTTGTGGAGCCAAACAATTTGAATTTTATCCTTAAATATTAGGACTGCGGAGCACAGTGTCTGGCCTGTAGTAGTCATTCGGTGTGTGTTAAACTGAGGTGTCACATTCTTCACTAGGATACTTAAAAGTAAACAATTCCAGACAGAGAATTTTTTAACTTTTTTTAGTACATGTTAAGAGCTCTCAATGTTAGAAGTTTTTCTTTAACAGCTCTATTGAGATATTCACATACCATACAATCCCATTTAAAGTGTACAATTTAATGGTTTTAATACATTCAGAGAGATTTGCAACCATCACCATAGTCAATCTTAGAATATTGTCATCACCTCAAAAAGAAACCTGGCACCCTTTAGCTAAGGAGCCCTGGTGGTGCAGTGGTTGAGTGCTGGACTGCTAACCAGAAGGTCAGCAGTTAAACCCACCTAGCTGGTCCTTGGGAGAAAAAACCTGGCTATCTGCTTCCGTAAAGATTGCAGCCTTGGAAGCCCTGTGGGGTAGTTCTACTCTGTCCTGTAGGGTCACTA